TCTGTTGTAATTGATGATGAGACTATTGATCGCGTTCGGGAGATTAAATATCTTGGCGTGATTATTGATGACACACTTAAGTTCAACTCTCACATTCACAATGTCATCAAGAAAATTTGCCAAGAAGTATGGAATTCTATGTCGCCTGAAAAACGATTTAACTATTGCCAGTAAAATACAGCTATACAAATCAATCATCTCTCCTCATCTAGGCTTTTGCCCTTCCATTTTATTTCTGGCCAATGCAACACAAATATCGAGATCGATGTAATAGATTCACTTCCTCAACTTTGATGCTAGACGCCTTACAATCGTTGTCGGTGAAGCAAAGAATTGTATATTTGACTATGGTGTTCATTTTTAAAGTAGTTAACGGATTGCTGCCTCGATATTTGTGTGATCGAATTGAAAGAGGAAGTGACTTTCATAGATATAATACTAGAAACGCGGCCGAAATTAGAACACTACATTTCTTGACCTGTGCTTCACAAAATTCATTATATATTTAAGGAATAAATCAGTGGCGTCGCGTCCACATGTGCAACCTGTGCACGACACAGGTGTAAACAATTAAAAAAATGCGTTTAGATTTTTATAGATTTTATGGTCACATTATAGCTGTACTTCTTTACTCCAGACCACAAGTGACCATGAATACACTATTTTATAGTGTGGTTCAATTAAATCTTCGACCTTGGTTTGCTTCAAAAAGGGTTAAATTCAGTTGGAATGGTCTGCTTAATCCCTAATGCATTGATTTCTTACCATGTCAATATCACTACCATGACAAAACTCGTTAAATAGTGCACCTAAAAGCGAGCTTTTTTGGGAGGCGGGTGGCAAGTTTGTGAATGGCCAAATGCCTGATGTAAGCCAAGCAGACCTTCTATCACCTCTTGAAACATACCACAAATTTTCCACAATACATGGCGGTTTGCACCACTGGTTGTAATTGAAGCTTTCAGCAGCTACGCGTCAAACGGGAGCAAAACGGAAACAGCAGTCTGGTACGCTTTGGACGTTATCATACTTGCAGACCGGTTTGAATGTGTGAGTTTAAATTAGAAGAACATTTGTAATGTATGGGTGCCCAAAGTGTGCATTTCTCGCTGTGCACTTGGATATCTGATTGCAGACAAAGAGAGTAATGGAGAAAGAGAGCGTAAAAACCCGCTCTCACTCTCTTGTCAGTTGTGAATCCCTCAATTACCGATAGTTGCGCCGGTGCGTCTGTCAAAACTTATGAGCTTCCCCTGGTTCATGCTGATAGTGTTGTTCTGATGAATAAAGAGTTGATTAATTCAAGTTCGCTACCCAGGGGACTATGAATTTTCTCTAGATTTTTTACTTCACAGTCCTGCCTCTTCCACGGGTTGGATTAAAGTGGACGAGAAAGAACTTGGGATTCCTCAGAAAGGCCGCTAAAACAATTCTTGGCCTTCGTTCCGGAAACCGAAAAAACGATCTGATCAAAGGGCGATCTCCGATTACCTTCCGATTCGATCAGAGATACTATCTCTTTTCCTCCCAAGTATCCCACATTTGCCTAGCTCACTCCAATCTTTAACTTAAAGTGTTTTTCTTATTATTAAATTTCCGACGACAAGTAATCCTACAGGGAGATTATACTCAATCCCACGGATCAAATTTGATGCCACCTCAAATGAGAAAACTTACGCGCCTAGTGAGCGAATGAACAAGTAATGAGTGAAATTTCATGCAGGGATAATTTACTCTTGATATGAGTTCACCAGTTGCATACAAGTGAACTGGGATAGTGCGTGTCGTTTCGAGTAGTAACAGTGAACATTTGTAGCATTTGAACTTATTAGAATACCACTACATTGTTTTGTATCAAAAAATGTTTTCGGAAGTGTTTGACAGATATTCTTTATTACACTTCAGTCGAAAGACTTAACCTTTTGATAAAAACTAGAATTCAAGCTGAACATTGCATTAGGTCCTAAGTAACATTGATAGATTCTCTCCGTCGACTTTCTCTTTGTATCTCCACGGCCATGTAAATACATTCCCAAGTATTTTCAGCACACAGATCGATAAAAGAAGCTTTTATCTAGCATCTAAAACGACAAACACAACAATAAATGGTTAAGAGAATCGATCAATATTACTTAGGACCTAATGCAATGTTCAGCTGGAATAAGTTAAGTTTTGCAATTCCTCCTACTTCGGTTAGCGCGAAAAGGGCCACACAAGTTTTGTTTAATCAAGATGATAGGTTCTTCAAATGTTACGTTAGGTAGTGATTAATATAGTGATGGTACACTATAAAGAACAAAGCTTGGTGCACAGGTAAACAAATGAGGCACGCGACGCTGTTGGAATAAATGTTTCCAATTCGACGCCTAGATATATTAAACGTTCAACAACACTTACCGAATTTAAAAGACACTGCATTTCACACGTTAAAACTGCCGTTTGAACAGTTATCCAGTGATTTTTTTTTTATGAATTGACAAATTATGTATCTTGACGAAGTTATCTCTAATGGATTATTTTGTATGAATAGCTGTCATAATGACTTTTTAATAATTATTGTAGCACTGCAAAAATTATTTTTGTTCGTCACGATGGTGATGATGGATTTTAAAATTTGATTTAATAGTAGTAGATTTAAAAAAATAATCTACTAAGGTTTGAGTTTAGCGACTGAATTTAAAATCTGCCTTTTTTTTCTCTGTTGAGACGTAACACCACTGCGACCAGTAATTTGGTCTGTTGTCCTTAGTTTAGTGCATGTCGTATTACTCTATCACTATTGAGAAATGATGGCGTCATTCTTGCCTTCATCGCAAGGAATCGGCTATACCCTTTGGATTGTTGGAACACCCTTCAAAGGCGCACCCCTTTTTCAGTCAAAATTTGATTCCTTAGCAACAAATTAAGGAACGGCACCGATAATGACCTGACCATGCGTCAGAACCCTAGTCTTAACCACTTCAAACTAGGGATCAACGAATAGAAGATTAGGAATCACATAGATGAAGACTAACTCATTTTTTCCTTGTTTCAAGATCATCGTCGGTCCAGGCAAACCCGAGGACTTATCACTATCAACAAGGCATAAAAAGTAATAAAGACTAAGCTGTGTTCCTTTGATTGCTGAAAAAACCTTGTAGTATGAAGTACTCTAGACTAGCAACCGGTGGTAGATCTTACATCCCGTATCGTACCACGAAAAGGTGATCTGGAAGATGCCTTGAGTTAGTAGTAAGTTTTCTGGCAAATGTCATATGATAGCATCAGATTGCGGGGTTGCTAGTGTAATAGGATGCTTTGTTGATTTTTTATTAGCTCTTGATCGCTTGTAATACTTATGAATATTCTAGGTAGACAAAAAGGCTAACTAAGAGGTGGACGTCTAAGCTATTCCACATTGATATCGCTGAGAAGCAACTCTAGAGGGAACTTATATCTGTAACTGTAACCAGTTTGAACAAACCTGGATGAAATGTCATATTTCATTATCTTAAAGATTAATCGTCCAGCTCAAAACTTTGTAGGGGTAAGAGGTGGGACCAACATCATCATCAGAAGTTTTTCTCGGGAAAAGTCGGAAAATTTACTCAAACTATGAGTGACTTACGTTTTAGCGATTTTGAGCAATCTGAACTTTTTGTCCATGTGCGAATGGTTCGGAAAATATATTTTTTTTTCTAAATCATTAAAAATAAACTCACGCCGACCCACGCCACCACGCCGCCGCCGCCGGCAGAAAATAACATATCACGCCACCGCCGAGAATATTTTGATCGGCGCACAGGTCTAATTCCCAGTCATTTCCCGGATTTCATAGTTCTCTTTTAAGGAAAAAATAATCGATATATTTTATTGTAATTTTGAGTAAAAATTTAAGAAATAATATTAAAACTCAAATCTTTCAAAATGTCCATGTTTAATATTTATATTTTATCAAAAAAATAAACACATGAAAAATTAAAACTTTTAAAAAATTGAAAACTTAAGACACTGCAAGTTTACCAAATCGTCGAACAACAACTTTTGGTTAAATTTTTTAACGTGTCCACCCTGCAGTTTGGGTCTACCTTCAACTGATTAAAAAACGCTTTTTTTGCAAGCATCGTACATATGATATGAACACCATGTTAAAAAACACTTAAATTCAAAATTGCCCCAGAATAGATTTCGAATTAATTGAGTAGTAGAAAAATGCCGATTGATTAAACAAAAAAACCTGTTTTAATTTTGCCGTGAAATTTTAAAAGCGGACATGTTGGCTTCGGCAATACCTTAACCTTTTATCGTCAGGGGGTAAACAACGTCCTTGAGAGCTCAATGTTGGTATGTGGATACATTGTGTTTGAGAGCATCTATTGGCCAAATTTGAGTGCTCCTGACGATAATAGGTTAAGGTATTGCCGAAGCCAACATTTCCCCTATATGACCCATTGTACTTTGGAAGAAAAAAATGGCCACATCCAGATATGTTTCGAATGCCCCCGGGGAACTGGTCAGAGCGGGAGTAGCAAACTATTATCAAATTTTTGGGAACTCCAAGACTAGTCGAATAAATAATGTTGACCCCATCTAAAAATAAACTAAAATCTAATTAAAAATTAAATTTTTTCAATACTTTTCAATATTTTGTAGGTAGTTGACAATCTAGAATTACGGACTTTGCAATATTTGAGCATTTGAGCAAAACAACTTTTTTTTTTAGCAACAGCATCTATTAGTCATCTGAGCTACTATATAACCGCATCATCCCACAGTGCAGCGACATTTTTGTTACAAGTCCACGAAAGTTGTGTGACCCGTGTTGCCATGTGTTTGTAGACCTGTCAGCCGTAAATCAATTCAAAAAACGGTCAGCGAAACCCAAAATTTTCCCACAAAACTTCCGCAAATTCGTCCGAAATAAAACTCCCCTCTATTATTAGCCGTGTGTTTATCAAGATATACCCAAGATAAAAAAAAAACATACACCTTAAATCCAACGACCTCAAAATTGGACTCACCTTATCTGGAAAGCCGGCGTCGATCTTTGGACTGCTGTCGTTCCATCCTGAGATTCCTAGAAAGAATTTCATAGCTCATGTACTGATTTGTCTTCTCCTGGTTGATGTATTTGTTGAAGTTGTTGAATATAGCAGCTGAGCGCTAACTCGTCTCGTGCTTCTTCTTCTTCTTCTTATCTCGCATCGGTTATATATTTAGAGCAGGTGCACTGCACACAACACTGTTAATTAGTATTACTGCTACTGCGGGTGCGGCTGCCGCTACTACTACTGATGATGACGGTTTCTTTTGAATTCATGACACAAACGAAAAAAAAAACAACAACCACTATTCTGTTTTTGGTCAAGCATTAATACAATCTACCGCGTACAGAGGAAAAAGTAGAATAGAATGAACAAAAGGACAAGCTCTAAGTAAAAAAAAAAAAACATTCGAAACACGATTGTGCTCTACCGCAAGCTACTGACTGGTATCACATGCTTTCTTGCAAAGGTCGATTCGCTTTCTTCTCTTGTTTCCGAGCCGTTAATCGCGGATTACCAAACGGGTGGGTGTTCATGTTGTGTTTATCAGACAAAACGTCGAAACGTCATCCCTGAGGCGAGGCCACCAATGCACTCACTGTGTTGATATGTGTGTGTTTGTATGGTGCAATTGTTGGTCACACGACTTGATACCGAGAGCGAAACTCGAAAAAAAAAAATAGTTTGTACCGGCCGCCGATGATGGCTCATTAAAATTCCTGCTGTTTATCTGTATGTCTCTTCCCGATTCCCTCAGATTGTGTTTTTTTTTTCACTTTTGATGTCTCGTGAATCGCTCGGATTGCAAAACTGTTTAAACTGCAAAACGTAAACAACGCCTCGCTCGCTGTCACATTTGATGAGGACATTCGGCATTCGCGCTCAAGTTCAACACGGGGCGGTATTTTGCAGTCGCAGTCTTTGTATAAATTTAAATTTGTTGACTAATATTGTGAATCTCTTGGGGCGTAATGGGAAATGTGCGCACGGTGGGTTTTCATGGAGGAAACGGTTCGCCGAAATGGCTGCCCGAAACGTCTATCAAACAGAACGTCGTTATCGCGTAAAGCCCCACCCTAATTAAAATGTTATGATGAATTTTCTCAACGACGTGTTCGGGGTATCATCCAAACAAATTTGTGGAATAGTTCAACCAAAAATTATCGTTAGTGTATGGTATTTTTATTACGGTAGTTGTTAGCGTTAGTGTTAGCGCGTTAGCGTTGTTATGATATACTTCGTAGATTGGATACTAGCGACACTCACGTCTCTTCTGAAATTCTCAGTTAGACTAGGAATAATGCTGGGCAGTAATCATTAGTTCCATTCTAAACAAGAGTAACAGAAGCATGACTGTCGCTATTCCCGGCCACGCCCATCTTTACCATAACTAGGGATAGGGAAGGAAATATTGATGTAGTACTTACTTAACGAGCGGCCACCGACTTAGCGACACCCTCATAAGTGCTACGGAGTTGGAGGGTTGGGTAGGGTATTCGGTTAGGATTCACCTCAAGTTGGCGATGCAACCAAAAGGATGTATTGTTTATTTGTTGTTTATTTAATCTCTCGATAGCCGGCTATCGAAAGAACATATTCATTTTGTTTAGTGATCATGAATTTTAAGAGTCATGACGGAGAGCTTGGGATTAAACCCATGATTTTCTGCTCAGTAAGCAAAAACGATCCCACCAGGGTCATCGAGCATCTTAGAACCATAACGCTTCGCGACAATACAGGACTACGGAGGTTAATGTTCAATATCAAACATACAAATGATGGTGGCGATTTATTGTGCTGTGGAAGAGCTTGGGGTTAAATCCATGATTTTCTGCTCAGTAAGCAAAATCGATCCCTCCAGGGTCATCGAGCATCTCATAATCCACAGCGCTTCGCGTCAAAGTACGAATATATGGATGAACTATCTATTATTGAATAACTATTATTTACGATAATTTTATTAGGGTAGTCGCTTCAATGCACGGCAATTTAGCAGGGAAAAAAACATTCATGGTATTCATTTTATAAGGTTATTTTATTGAAATGGGCCTCCTTTTCGTGAAAATGATGATTAGGGTGATCCTATTTTTTTCTTATATCATAAATATAACTTTTTTGTTTGAAGTAATAGGTAGTTTCAATCTGCAGCTAAGATGTAGAGAAACATATTTCAATCAACTTTGCTACAGAAACAATTTCTATTGAAGCGCTACTAGAGCTGCTTTTCTGCTATAAGTTATGGTGTCCCTAAAAACAGTTTTTCAATGCCAACGTTTTGGTTTCAAGTGTTACGAAAAAGTGATCTTGAGAAGAGTTGTTGGGAAAATTTTGAGGCGTATTTAAATTAAGTTAAGGCGTATTTTTGCCGAACAACTCATTTGAGTATAAATTAAAATTATATATAATTTAACCCAAAAACCATGTAGTCTTCAAACGTCAATATCGCATGTAGTTGGATAGATAATTTTATTCTTGATACGGCATAAAATATGGAACATTTGAGGTCAAAACTACGAGAACAACTTTTGTTAGAATGCAGTAAATTATCATTAAAAATTCCAGAAAATAAAAATAAAACGTGTAGCTCAAAAATATCTCAACATAACAACTTGCTATCTTCAGCTCAAATGTACATTGGAACAAGTTATAATGATGGGATGGGACTAGTTCAATGATGGGATGATGCCCATAACGATCTACGGCTGACAATCTCTTAGAAGATAATCAATCAATCAACTTAATTCTAACTTAAACCTAAACTTAGCACACCATAGCATAGATCGAGTTGCATAAATGCGTAGGTGGTACGAGCTCTAATCTGCCAGGAGACCCACCTCCATCCGATAATGTTAGGTAGTAATTTGGGATTAATCATTACCTCTTAGATAAAGGATGTGTTTTCTTCCAACAGACTACAACAGTCCTGGCCACGTCCTTGCAACTGATGGGTATGGGAAAGGAATGTTAGTCCGACATTTACTCAAGAGAATTCTAACTTAAACCTAAACTTAACCAGAAAATAAATTTGAAAAAAAAAATCTTTGCAGAATCGTATGCCAGTTTAAAGAGAATTTTAAGGAACTTCCGAAGGAAGTTTAAGGAGAGTTTCCTGAGAATTGACCACTTTGTCAAGCGTGGTTTTGGCGTGACTTTCTACCAGAGATTTCACAAAACTGCAAAACAGTCTGGGAATTTTGAAAGAATACTCTCTAAATTCAAAGAGGGCATATCAAAAGGTTTCTAATGATTTTTTTTTTCAAGGTGATGTTACTTTGATTGGTAACAAATTTGAAGAACCTGACTGTTGATGGGTCAAGATTATGGAGCCAGAAATTTTTGAAAAGTGTAACAATGAGATGTATGAGATCTACGACATCTCAAACTCGTAAAAATACACTATACGCCACGCCCTAAGCAAATTCAATATCCCAGACATTGATAAATTTTCTAGATTATGGGACATGACAAAAAATGTTTTCAATGTTTTAAATTAACAAAAATAGTCAAAATTTCGGACATCGAAAAACTTTTAACGATGGCAAACATTAACAAAAAATTGCCTGTCTGGGGCTTAGGAACTGTTCGTTAACTATTTGTTTTGTATTACTTCTGCGTGAAGTCAACGATTTACATAGTTGAAGATGCTAATTTCAAATAACAGATTAAAGCGGCAATTTTTATACGATAGATGATTAGGAGATGAAAGTATAGAGTTGATAGTTCCGTTAGAGTGCGGCAGTGTGAAAATTGTATATAGAGAGTAGAAAGCGAGCAAGGACAACTTTTTTTTTATGAAGGTACAAATCGGTTTGATCATCTCTCTTTACCAAACTCCCCTGTTGGAGAGGGAAGGTGAGGGGATGATCACCGACTCGCTCATGTACCGACGATGTGTTTGAAACAGTTCTATCGATTGTACCGCACTCAAGATGTTATCTGAAGGAAGGCATCCAGTCGTAGGTTTGAAAATTGCAGCTATTGTTATCTCTACACGGTATGTACTCCTGTCATCGTCGACTTGACGATCTCGAGGGGACACGGGTAGGGGAGGTGCTGCTACTGTACCTTTCGACCAATGACAGTAATGGATGGTAAGCTCCTATCCAGAGTTATGTACTTTAACTTAGGAACTGTTAACGATTTTCACTGGAATCATTTAAGAAAATCTCAAGCGGCGCCGGTGGTGTAGTGGTAAGCATGATTGCCTCTGATTCCAAAGGGCTTGGGTTCAATCGGGATTTTCTGAGGCATAAAATCTCGGATCACGAAGGGAAGTAATGCTGATGGTCTCCGGTCCATGAGTTGATGGGTCGATAGCTGGGTCGAGGTGCGGGAGCTGCCTCCCTGGCGTCAGTAGCACCGGAACTCAGTACAGAAAAAATATTGATGGAATACAAATCAAGGAAAAAAATAAAAAATCTTGGTGGATCTTGGACTTGTACAATTTTCGATTTTCTCAAATTTTATTCTTGGTATCTCATATTAAGGAACGTTTCAGAATTCCGAGCTTGAAGAAATATTTAAGATTTTAAGTTAAATATTCAAGACATCGGACTTCGAATTTTTAATGTCGCAGAAATTAATAAAAGAGGCATTAAAATATACTCGAAAGCTCCAATCAAATTCTCGGCTATTCACCGTTTGTTTTTGATTCCCAGTTTTTCGTAAGATTTCAAGATTATGTTGAAGGTATTTGGACAATTTTTTTGGGTTTTCAGAATTAATCCTAGTATTCTTAGGATTTTAGTTTCAGATATTTTTTGCGTTCTAGTTTTTAAAGATCAATTTGGCGTTTTCATTTTAGTTGTTTGGCGTTGTACATCGTTTTAAAAGGTTTTTTTTTTTCAAATTGAGGCCATTTGAATTTTGGTGTTTATTAGACCATTAATTTTGGCGATGTAAAAATCATTTTGGAGTTTTTAATATTTTTAACGGCAGTGTAGGTGATTTGAATAAATATAAAAACTACAAAATGGCCATGAAAAACACAGCAGATACCTTAAAATCGCGTTCAAATAGCTCAAAACCACAA